CTCTTCGCACTGTCACGGTTGCTTGGCAACATGAGTTACGCTGAGGTGGGGGCGGGGACAGTTGGTGAAGGCTAGACCTGTCAGAATAAACAGACATTTTTCTTGTGGTGTTAGTTTATTCCCCATAGACATAATATAATTCCCGTCCTACGTAGACCAGTCCTTCGAACGATGCAGACCCTGAATTCGGACACAGCTGTAGTGTTTGTAAACATCTGGTTTCAACTGTACGCGCACGCACACACACACACACACACACACACACACACACACACACACACGTGTGGAAACATGGAAAATGTAGATTAATTTTATTAGTTCAGGTCTTATAATAAAGTATAATTATATTTGATTAAAAAAATTTTTTTCCATCAAACATAAATGTTTGATAATATATATATATATATATATATATATATATATATATATAGCTAACATTTTTTATCATAAACATTTGATGGGGCAATAATTTTTTTAATCAAATATTAATATACTTTATTATAAGACCTGAACTAATAAAATTAATCTACATTTTCCATCTTTTTTGGAATGTGTCACATAACTTGACACATGCAATAAATACCACTTTTAGCTTATAATTTATTTGACATATGTTTCATGTTTTAAAAATATAGGAAAAACTAAAGAAAAACTATTAAGCTTTTTTTTAATCTTTTTTCTAAGCATACTTCTCAAAAGTAATGTAGAGTTAATCAACTCTGTTCACTCCACAGAAAATAATACAACCCATAAATATCACCTGATTGAAGAGAGGAAGACCTGGCAGGAAGCTCAGAGTTACTGCAGAGAGAAACACACAGACCTGATCAGTGGAACGAAGCAGCTACAGGACGCAGAAAATATGATGAATATATCTGGATACATAAAGTATAGGAGAGAACCAATATACATTGGTCTGTTTAGCGACACCTGGAGATGGTCAGATGGAAGCACTATCTCTTTCGAACCCTGGTATCCACAGTTTTACTATCAACCTAACAGTGGTCAATGTGCCGTAACTGTGTTTTATTATGGAGGCATATGGAGGAATGAGAACTGTGCTGAAAGAAAACCCTTCATCTGTTATTCACATGGTGAGTGTTCAAAAAAAAACATTTAATCAAGACATTTAACCACATTAAATGTCTTAGTTAAATGTCTTTCAAGTGTAAACTTTACTATCAGGTCCGTGTGGTTTAACTCATAAGAGTCATTTTTTGTTGCATCAGCTCTGATTGGAGACTTATAAAGAAATAGCATTGTTTTATTTCTTATATTTTATGTATTTTCATGCCAGATAAAATGATCCTGATCAAAGAAAATAAAACCTGGGAGGAAGCCTTGTACTACTGCAGAGGTCACCATCATGACCTGGTCACCATCACCAACATGGACAAAGAGAAACAGGTTCAGGAGAAAGTCAAGAACGCATCGACTCCTTTTGTCTGGATTGGACTGCGTTTCAACTGCAGTAGGAATGTTTGGTTCTGGGTCTGTGATAACTGGACCTGGAATGAACAGAAGGATGACTGTAACATGTTTGGAGCCATGGAGGCAGGAGGAGAGCATCGGTGGTTCCAAAGAAACGGCAGTGAGAGATTTAACTTCATCTGTACTAATTAATAATTCTTCCTCTTCCTTTTATTATCAGTTTTTTTCACTTTGTGCTGCTTTTCAATTGTGGCTTTAATTAAATTCAAAAAGCCATATTTGAATTCCGCCAAGAAATGATCTCTTCAAAAGAATATTAGATTATATTAGATTAGATATTTGCTTAGGACTGAAAATAATTTTATCTTGAAATGTTTTTTTATTATTATTATTGAAATGTTATATTTTCTATCTAAAACTTTAACATCTGCTCACCCTTGACAAAATTTTGTTGTGATTTAAAACAATAAGATCTTAATAAAGCATTTGAAAACTTTTCCACATGTTGAGAGATTTTATTTTGTACAATTTAACAGAAAGATGGGAATGTGATAGAAAAGCCCAAGAATTTGCTGCATACGTGTCCACACCCTTACACTAATACTGTTAAGAAAACCTTTCATTCAATTTCATTATGAAATTTCCAAATTCACTGGATCCATCTGTCCCACTTAAGATTGTGAGATATTTGTAGATTTGTATCCTATTATTAAACCCATAACTTACATTTCTGGTGAGCTGTACTTCTTCTAGTCGGTCCGTCTCTACAGGATTATTGTCTGAAGAACTAAACCACCTCTAACACCAAAGAGACACACACGCACACACACACACACACACACACACACAGACACATCCTTGGACTTCTATAAAAACTCAGGACTTTGTAATGACTTCCATTCATTTTAGGAACTACATTCATACCTAATGCAGACATTTTCACTCACACCAACCATTGCTAGTCTGTTCCTATCCATAACCTTAACCAAAACTTAATTCACACCAAACTTCTTCTAAACCTAACAAGAAGAGCGCTGTAAAAATGCAAAATAAAAAGCGAGGACCAGGAAGAAGTTGACATTTCCCATGCAATAATGAGTCACATTGGTAAGTATTTTGCACTTCGTGACAGTGTTTTGCACTGTCACGAAGGCAGACACACAAAAGGCCTGCTGTACTTCCCTTTTTGCAGATGCAGTCCCAGATGATAGAATAGGTTTGCGTGTGCAATCCCGTCTGCACCAGTTTTAATACACACAAACCTCAAGATCAGGCCTGGCAACAGAGACGGGACCATGTGATCATGAGATTTCTGAATCGTTTACTTGTAAGAAATATACAATATGTAGAATAATTCATGGAAAATCACTTTTGAAATGTTGCATATAGAGATCCTGAGTGTTTCTTAGAAAAAGCTGACAAATGACAGAGACTCCAATTGGAAAAAAATGCTGTGGTCATGTTCAAACTCAGACCCCCGGCTTTCAAAATAAAAGCAGGATATTCAGCTTTTGCACTGAAGATGATGAGGAGGCTGAAGAGAATTTATGAAGAATCATATTTGACTTCTTTGTGTAAGAATGTCAAATAATTCAAAAATATTTTAAAGAGGTGTTGAGTTAATAAAAACATCCTTTAAACATCCTCAGGTCAAAGGTCAGAATTTAGCTCAGATAACAGCACAGTGAGTTCAGCTCAGCCAAATTAGGCAGCAGGGTAAATATATCAGTATTTACTTAAAACAGGTGATAATGAGGTAAACAGTTATATTTTAAGCAAATATCTAACTGAGGTAAAAGCCGTTTTCTGTAAAGTATGTAAAGTATTATCTCTTATTCTTATTTTTTTTAATCTGATGCTAAAAAAATCCAATCTGTTTTTCCTTACATAAGTTGCTTCAGCTCACCCTCCTTATTTTCTGTCATTTATTGTATAACATGTAACATGAATTATCGTCTTTGTAAAGAACAGACCCATCCTCCCGTTTGAACATTCAAATGCTGACAGACTCGCTCTTATGTGATCGCTGTTCATCAGAAGTCGACATTTAACCCGGGAACGTCGATCAGAACGTCAGGCAGAGGTTTGACGAGACACGGAAGGTAACCAGGTCCATGTTTTAACTTTCTTTCTGTGCTTGATATTTAAATATTCTGTTTCCTGTCTGACTTCGACTTTTCTGTTCTCTCCGCATTGTTGCAGCTTGTCAAACCTTGATATGAAGTGTTTAAATGTTCTTCATCCAACAGAGACAAACTGCTGGAGGAAAATAATTCATCTGACAGCAAAGATGCAGTGGAGTCTGATTCTGCTCTTCCTGATGGGTAAGTTGATCTGAAACACAACTAGACTCTCTGGTTTCTGTCAAAAAAACAGATTCAACTTCATCATAAGGAAAGTAGAATGAGAACACTAAAGAAAAGCCTTTTTAAACCAAGTTATTCTACAAACCCTGGTGGATGTGTTAGTTTTGAGTAACACATGCAGAGCTACATTTTATGTTCTCAGCTCAGTGTTGCTTCATGGACTGTCAGCTCTATCAGTTTCACTACATTAAACAGAATAAGACCTGGACTGAAGCTCAGCAGTACTGCAGAGAGAAACACACTGACCTGGTCACAGTGACTAACATGAAGGACATGAAGAGACTCATCAACATCTCAGCTGGTAGTAAAAACCGAGCTTGGATTGGTCTGCATTATCAAACACATGGTACCAGAACATGGTACTGGTCTCTGCCTGGGGTGGAGTTCGATGTAAGTGACACAAACTGGATGTCAGGAGAACCGACTGACAAACATAGGAATGAAATATCTGGGAACTGTGGATTTCTGTTTAAAAGTTTTACATGGGCAGATGAATCTTGTCATCACGTGGAATTTTTCCTCTGCTATGATGGTGAGTAATAAGAAAACCCAGAAAATAAACTAAGTAATTGAATAAAACCATCTGCATGAGAGATGTATCAGCGGTACCACTCTCCTTATAGATGACTGATAATTAGTTCATAGATGTTTATTCTTCTCTAAGCCGTTTATAAATCATCAATAGCTGTTTATTATACATTAATTCAGGGTGAAAAGGAGACAAAATTTACCTGTTTCTTGCCAAATAGTGAACCAATTCTGTTCATCTATAGATCCTTACAATTGTTACACTAAACTTTTCAGACTGCCTTGTAAACACAAGGATTCATAGACGGAATTGTTTAGCATACAGTCTCCTTCTCACTCTCAATGCCTAGTAAATGATTTATAAAGTTCTTGCAGATGAATTGATAACATATCTATATATATTTTTTATTATCCATCTGTAAGGGGAACTTTTTATTGTAAAGTGGTACCGATTTGTTTACGCAGTTCTGATCGCAAGTATGACAAAGTTATCAACTTCCCTCAAATATTCTCAGCCTAAAATGTGTTTTTTTTCTCCACAGAAACTGATAGAAACCAGAAATACCACTTGATTGAAGACAAGAAGACCTGGCAGAAAGCTCAGATTTACTGCAGAGAGAATCACACAGACATGATCAGTGGATCGAAGCAGCTACAGGATGCAAGATCGGCGAATGTTTTGAACTCTGTGGGAAACAAAACACACGTACATTTCGGTCTGTTCAGAGACGCCTGGAAGTGGTCCGATGGAAGCAGCTTCTCTTTCAGATACTGGCACAAAGGCTTCAACAATCAACAACCCAACAGTGGACAATGTGCCATGTTTAAGTTTAATGATAAAGGCAGATGGAGGAATGAGAACTGTATGGCCAAGAAACACTTCATCTGTTACGACGGTAAAAAACACCGAGGAGATGACTTGATTTGAAAATCAATTGAAATAGGTGTCACATCTGCGTGGTTGTAACATTTGATGTATGTGTCATCATTTTGGGTTTGCTGTGAAGACTTGTTCATATTCATGGCTTCTTTGTTTAGATAACGTGATCCTGATCAAAGAAAATAAAACCTGGGAGGACGCCTTGACCTACTGCAGAGATCACCACCATGACCTGGTCACCATCACCAACATGGATGATCAGAGATGGATCCAGGAGAAAGTCAAGGAGGCATCGACTGATTATGTCTGGATGGGTCTGCGCTACACCTGCACTCTGGATTTGTGGTTCTGGGTCAGTGATGATGTGGTCAGATATAAGAACTGGGCTTTAGATGGACAGATGGACGACTGTGACATGTCTGGAGCCATGGAGACGAGAGGAAAACATCAGTGGTTCAAAAGAAATGATGATGAGATGCTGAATTTCATCTGTTCTAAAAAGTAAAATCTACTCTTTTCTTTTGTTTTTATTTTTTTCTTAGGTGTGTGATTCATATTAGATGTTGGTTTAATTAATCTTACTTCCCGATTGAGAAATGACTATCTTTTTCTCAATGGTGCTGATCTATTTAGAGAAAGCTTGACGTGGTGTTTGGTTTTCTAGTGGTTATGCGACATGCCACTGTGTTATATATTATCTCTTATACTGTTATGTGATTTACACCAATGTTATCAACTTTTATGTTATGAAGTTATACTTTAATATTTCAGTGCTTTTCAAGCTACCATTGATCTGGACGAGTTCTGTTGGGTGGTTTTGGCATGTTGCTGTTTCCAGCAAGTCATCTTATAATCAGAAGTTGTGGGTTCGATTCCAGGTTCATCTTGCTACTTGCTGATGTTCCCCTGAGCAAAGCACTCCAGCAAAGTTGCGCCAATCCTACATAAATCCTTTTTATACTCCATAAATATCTTGTGTTTACTTGCTAGTCTACTTCATTGTGTTCTCACAGTTCCTCATCTTCATTGATTGATTTCTCTTACATTTAATTCCTAATTCTTATGTCATAGATAATGACTTGTTTTCCCAAAAACTCTACTTTAATCATTGTATTGTGTGTATAGCAGTTACACGCCTATTTTTCTTTTTAAGATCTGTCTAAAGCATTTTGTATTACATCTGACTGTGTGAAAGTGCACTACCAATAAAGTTTGATTTTGAAACAGTATTTTTTTTAAATGCCTTTCATAAATTATTGACATGCTTCCCAGAAATCAATGGAGCGATCTTTATTTTAAATACATCAATCTAAACTTTCTAATAATTGCTGATGTTTTTACTAGTATATTAATGATTTATCTTTGGTTATTTTTAAGTCTCCTATTAAAGTTGGAACTTTGACTGGGTGACATCCAAGATGTTTATATTACTTCCAGTGTGTAGAAAAAAAAACATGTTAATACACTTTAAATATTCCTTAAACCTACATCT